AAAAAAAAAAAAAAAAAAAAAAAAAAAAAAAGAAAACTATGAAACTTTATCCAGACCTTAACAAAAACAAATAATTGGAAGGATTCACCATATTCAAAGATTGAAATATGACTCAATTTTGTAAAGATGTCAATTTTCCTCAAATTGATTTAAAATCTTGACAATTCCAATCAAAATCTCAAACATGTTTTTTTAGTTTGTTTCTTGACAGGCTGATTCTAAAATGTATATGGAAATTCAAAGGGCCAAGCATGGGCAAGACATTCTTGAAGGAGAGAAAGGTAGAGAGAGACTCAGGATTAAGACCTGTTATTAATTCAGTGTGTAACACTGGCAGAGGGGTGTAAATAGACCAGCGGAGCAAAGTAAAGAGCTCAGAGTAGTTCTTGCATACGTGTATACGAGCACTTGATTTATGGTAAAGGGACTCTTTTCCTTTTTTTTTTTTACAAATCCACTTTTATATTTATTTACTTTTCGTTAGTTCAAATCCTTGAGGGGTAAGGGGTACAGCATCACACAGATTGGTGTCCAGTGGCCTTAGCAAGAAGGTTGCTTTGGAATTTGGCATAAATCATGCCACTATTTCCATGGGTACAAGTTTCCTTTCCCCAGATTCCTCTGGTTTTGTTCAGTTTGCTGCTAGGAGTCACTGTGTTCTTTACTTTCTACATGTAGGCACATCTTTTACCCACTCAGAATTCAGTTTTGTCTTGGGCACAAACACCCAGTGTTTAGCTGCATGTTCCCTTTGGAGGCCCCGCTTATAGCCAGAAAAATGGTCTGGGACCACAGCCTTCCTGGCACAGTTGCCTTTTAGAAGTCCTGCTCCCAGCAGGCCTCCATAGGTCAAACTTTAGCTAGACTGACTCCCTCCCCTCCACAAGATGGTGGAAAGAGCAAAGGGGCTTTTCAGTAGACGATGCAGAAACAATTGAGTATCAATGGAGACAAAATGAAATTGGACACATACTTTGCACCATGTACAAAACTCTGGCATAGGTGGATTATGGACCTAAATGTGAAAAGCAAACAGTAAACTTTTAGATGATGACATATTTCATGCCCTCATGACTGGGAATGGCTTCTTAAAAGAGACTCAGAGGCATTAAATATAAAGAAAAAGTGATAAATTCGTGTACCTTTTAAGTTGAGAATATTTATCAAAAGACTCCATTAAGAAAGTGAAAAGGCCAGCTGCAGAGTAGGAGTTATTTGCAACACAGGATGAAAGCTAACATCACAATTTTGAACAGAAGAAGCTAAACTCTATGTAATATAGCCTGCATGCTTCCATTTCTGTAAAGTTTAGAAACAGGCAAAACTAACTGTGTTGTTTAGGGATGAACTTAGTTAGTAAGACTCTAAAGAAAATAACTTTTCTTGATTACTGTAAAGGCAGGACAGAAGGAGGGCCTTCTTGGATGCTGGCTGTATTGTAGTTCTTGACCTGGATGGTTGGTTACATGTGTGTTGGCTTCATAATTTCATTAAATTATATATTTGTGTATGATGCATTTTTCTTTATGTTGTATTTTCAATGATGTAAGGTAAAAAAATTTTTAAATTGAATGTAATTTTTGCCTTTTTGATATCTTATTTGTATAAGAAAATATTATTAGATTTATAGAAGGCTGTTTCCTCCTGGAAATCTTTACATTTGCAAATAGGTCACTGGCTAGGTTCAGATTGATAGTTTAACATATCAAACCTTTAAGACTTTTAGTTCTGCTATGGTTTTAACAAAGCAGAAGAAATTAATCTGTACCAAAGTGGAAATTGGGTTTGGTGTCTCTCTGCTTTTCAGTATCATCAAAGATTACATATGAAAACCTGTATCTTCTGATGGTTTTATTGTTTCTCTTATTCCACTTATTAGCAATAAAAAAATCTTCATATTTGCCTCACTTTCAAAATAAAAAACCAGAAAACAAATTCCCTCTTTCAAAATCTTGTGACAAAGTTAGTTTTGATTCTAAAGGATTTTCTTCATTTAAATAGGGTAAATAACATAGAAGGGAGGATATCATACAATTATATACAATCAAAATAATAAATGCAGCATAAAATATTTACATAAAGAGAATTAAGAGGCCCACTTGGAAGTTAGATGAAGAAGGGTCCGCAGTGTGACTGTAAATTCAGAGTTTACATCCTCTCCGGTGCTCACCTGTCTGCCAGTCATCTCTCTTTGGAGTTGGAGGTAAGGGTTGGGGAAGGTGTAATTGTATTGGAAGAGTGGAAAGCACCGAGAGCACGTTGTGTCGTGAAGGAGATGAAAAGTGAGCGGACGAGTGAGTCTGGGTACGATCAAGCACACACTAAGGATTCTAGACCGACTGCAGTACCAAAAGGAAATCAAGGGGTTGAGGAAAGAAAATATAAATCATATTGAACTTTAAACTTTTATAAAAAATTGTTTTAGCAAGACTTTACAGGAAGACAGGTATATAACTTGGGGCTATAATAAGAGGCGTTGCAGGTGCATGGGGAGCCAGGTGTAAGGGGATGGATAGATGGCCAGTATGTTGTGTATGTGTACATAAACGTGCACCTGAACGTATCTTGAAATTTTGAGGAATCAGCATAGGCTAGGTATAGGATTAGAGTGGCTAATTTTTTTTTTTTTTTTTTTTTTGTCTTTTTGTCTTTTTTCCGTGTCCGGCAACGGATCGCAACCCTCAGTGTTGCCCCCGTACCGGACCGGGGACCGGCAACGGGATCGCAAGCCTCGGTGTTGCTCCCGCGCCTCGCTCAGCCAGTGAGCGGGAACCGGTCTGTATATGGGATCCGAACCCTCGGACGGGAGCGTCACCGCGCTTCCCAAGCGGCGCACTATCCAGTGCGCCACCGGGCCGGCCCTAGAGTGGCTAATTTTGAGGGAATATAGTCCATTAGTTGAGTAAAACCGATGAGGTGAAAGTAAATTACTAAATTGCTTATTACAAAGAGCATAAATGATGGCAGGAGAGAAGAAAGGGCTGACACTGGCGTAAGTACTGAATACGTTCAAGCTGGTGAGTGTTACTGCTGCCTAGCCAATCGTGAAAATTCATCTCAAGATTGTTTATTAAATTAATTTTTTTAATCGACACATAATAATTGTACATATTTATGGGGTACAGTGTAACATTTCGATACATCTCAGTATTATTAAATAAGAGATTGTGTCTTGCTCAAATAGATGTGAAATGGTGTTTGTAACAATTACAAGTTACTTGATTTTACACTTTATTAATTATCCCTTAAGACATCTTTCTTTAACTCTTGAAATATTTTACTAGGGGCTGTGCATTCATGATGGTACCTGGAAGTCAGCAATTTATAGTTTTGGAAATCAGAGTACTTTGAGAAAACTACGAAATGCATCAAATCTGAAACCCGTCCCAATTATTGGTCCAAAATTGAAAAGAAGGTATATTAACTCAAAATCTATTATTTAATATGTTTAGTTTCAGTATATTGTCGTTGGCTTGGCTACCAAGAAAAGCTTGAAGACTTTTGTAGTAAGTTCAGGATTGTTTTCAGAGATAAAATGTAATTCACTCATTACCCTAATCTTAAGTACTTTATACGTAATAATACATTTGAACTCCAGGAAAAAAGTCAATTTTATGACTTTTTACTATTAATATCAAAATTAAATGTCAATTAAATTTTATGCAGAAAAACTACCATGTTGAAGTGTGACAATCTTAATGTAGACTAATTAATCAGTCTCATTAATAGCACTTAAGTGAGAACTTTAGCAGATATGAGTGTTCTTTGTATCATTATCTAGGGAAATTGATGGGGTAAAACATAGTTCAACTGCATTTGTTAAGGGTTCAGGGTATGAAGAAAACTGCATGTTTCACTTGTTACTTGTTTAGGTGTGAGTATACAGAATAAAGGAAGGATTACTAAACTATATCCTAATTAAAACCAGATCTGCCATCTTCATTGTTATTATTGCCTCAAGAAAAATTACTAATTTTTTATTCACAAATTTACCAGCTAAAGTTTTGGTCACTATAATCAAAAGAAATGCAAAATATTCATGGGTGTGTCTTGTAGGTGGCCAATTTCTTACTGTAGAGAACTCAACAGATATTCCATTCCTTTCTTGGGATCTGATGTGTCTGTTGTGAAGCGGACTCAGCGTTACCTGCATGAAAATTTAGGGGAATCACCAGTAAGTATATATGGCTAATTTATTAAGAATATTCTGTTTGTTACAGTTCCCCTATCTATTTAATATGGTATTTTTATGTTTATAAAGATAAAAGAAAAAAGAGCTAAGTGATGCACATTTCATCTTCTGGAAATATACGAAATTGCTAGGCTAGAGCATTTTGCATTTTATGGGGGTTGGTAACAGCCTTGCCCTGTGATTCAGATCTGGCCTGCTGAATACCTTGTTAATGTAATACAACAGCAGCAAGTTCAGTACAGGAAATCCTGGTGTGGTAAACGCAAAACAATCCCTGTTTAGCGTTTCAGTTGCAAGGACACTCTCTCCTGCTTGTGGAGATGTCTGGGACCCTCTCTCTGTCTCTCGTCTCCCTGCTTCCTCTGGAGTTCTGTCCTACTCCTTTTGGTGAGGGAGGTAATTGCTCCCACTGCTGAGACTTCAAGAGGAACCATCTCAAGTTAAAAGATGGAGAACGTTTTCTCATAGGAGGAGTTGTAAGTGGAGTCTACATTCTGTAATGTATTATTGCTAAACTCAGACATATTAGGGATTGTGTGGACGTTTGTGTTCAAGGAGAGGAAGCTCATTACCATTTGCAACAACTCCTTTTAAATAATAAGGCTCCCAGTGTCTGGGCTCTGAACAAGCCATATTAGGGATTGTGTGGACGTTTGTGTTCAAGGAGAGGAAGCTCGTTACCATTTGCAACAACTCCTTTTAAATAATAAGGCTCCCAGTGTCTGGGCTCTGAACAAGCTTTCAGAACATAATGCGTTCATAAAGCGCTACCGGCTTTTTGCCGTATTTGTGACGGAAGAGTGAGTTATAAGTAGCTAGCATCCTTGGTCTAAAATGTAGAGTAACAGTCTAGCTTTATATCCCCAATCCAGGTTCAGTACGCTGCTTATGTGACAGTGGGAAGCGTCACCTCTGTTATTAAGCTGATGTTTGCAGGACTTTTCTTTTTATTCTTTGTGAGATTTGGCATTGGGAGGCAGCTTCTCCTAAGAGTAAGTAAGATTTTATGAAATTAGGTCTTTAGGAATATTTCCTGTGAGTTTTTTAAAATATCACTGAGGGTTGTTTTTTTTCTTCCCCCCTGTAGTTCCCATGGCTCTTCTCCTTTGGTTATTTTTCAAAACAAGGTCCAACACAGACACAGGTAATCCTTTCTTTTGTATCTGGGTCTCTAAAATAATATTTTTCTTTCTCTCTCTCTCTCTCTCTTTTTTCTACTCTTATTACAGAAGCAATAACATCTAAGACTTGATGGGGCACTTACTATGTTTCAGACACTCATTTAAGTTCTTTACATAAATTAGATTACTTAATCGTTTCAGGCACTCCTTGGAGATAGATATTATTATCTTCATTTTACAAATGAGGAAACTGAGGCACACAGTGGCTAGGACACTTGCACAAGGTCCTACAGCTAGTAAAC